TTAGGAATGATGTACTTCTTTTATTTTGCTTTAGATACTGAAGATGGAATCTTTTGAGTTCCGAAACGTTTATATGTGTACCCTTGTGTTATAAATAAACAATGTTGTTCATCTTAAGTATCGTTAACAAATTTGATTTGACACTGTGAAATTCTATAGCGACTGTTCTTCTAACTGGTTATTAAAGACATTAAAATAAATCGTATAAAAATATTTTTAAAATCACATTTGATCCGCATTTGTGTGTGTGTGTGTAAAAATAACTAAACATATGGGCACTGTGAAATAAAAACAATCATTTTGACCAATTGACTAGAATACTGGTTATCAAAAACTCATCAAAAAATATTTTATTCAATGTATAGCAAAATACAGGTTATCATCATCAGTCAGAATAGTGAAAACATGTGCAGACATGTACTTACTGGTAATTTCAGATTGTAACTCTGGTCACGCTGTCTTTAAATCAATGAGTGGCTTTGTAATAAAAATAGGGAAACCTTAATTTGAAAATAAATTTAGCATTATTTCTTAAATTTCGGAACTATGTTAGACTCCAGAGTCATATGTCCACGTGATATAATTATAGTCACAAAGTCTGATAGTTCATAGTTATTATGCAGTCTATTTAAAGTTTACTGTGATTGTAAAAAAAAATATGTGTCATACATATACCAGTCCAATAGATAACAATGTTAAAGTAAAACCAGGGAGAAGTGAAAAGGAATGACTTTCTCAGAAAATGGAGTAACTGTGCCTGTTCAAGAGATGTTAACGATTTATATTTTTGTTTAGTTCTATATTAGGATTATTCCTTAAACATCAATATATTTCTAAGGATTTTTTACCATGATTATGACTTGAAGGAGTAAGCTCATTCTGGGGCTCGTCACCTGTATAGTTATTGCCAGTTTTGGCTATTTCTGTATTCTCATGTGTAAACTAAGCTGTACTTTGTTTTATCACGTCCCTCAGGAGCCAAGGGGTGTTTTTACACTATAATTTGTTTTATCACTTCCCTCAGGAGCCAAGGGGTGTCTTTAAACTACAATTTGTTGAATATTAAAAGTAAATTAAATCCGGAAACTTCCAAAGAAGGTGGTTTCTGGAGGTATCTTTTCGATTCAAGCTTTCGTTTGTTAATTTATAAATGTTTAAATGAAATACAGCATCCTCAAGTCTCCATACTAGCTAGTCCTAGGGTCTACCAGCTGGGAGTAAATTCAGTATATATCAATAAATCCGCATTCTCAGCATCATTAATTAAGCAAATGCCAACCTTTTATGCTTCTACTCTCACCTTTTTATGTTTAGCTTTCAATTGAGTTACGAACGATTTCACCTGCGATTCGGTAGGGAAGGTCGAAGCATCACGATAGTCAGTAGTAGGATGAGCAAACAGGAATGCTTTGAAAGCAGCTACAGGCAAAATATTGTACTCGGCTTGCTGCACAATATCTACCAAGGTGGTTTTACACAGTTCATGAATACCTCTGCATGTCATTTGAAGACTTCCATGTTTCTTGTGCTTGGCCATTAAGCTCGTGATGCGCTGACAGATTTCAGTCACCTTACCACTTCAAATCACTTTTCGCAGCCCCAACGATAAAATAGTGCAGGAAATGCTTTCTTTTTAGCCAATAAAAGTGTCCAAAAAATTTCAGTTCAAATTAAGAAAACCAGATTGGGTAGTTTTGTTTTCAACAAAAATACCCCACACTGGCTCGTGAGGGGCCTGGTATACTACCCTACAATATCATCAGTATTTGCTTCAATGACACGATTTTGTTGTTTGAACAATTGATATGTTACGTATTAGAATTTCAAATAGCCTGAAATTGAGTTAACTGATAAATTTAAATTTAGTAGTTAAATTAAACTTTGAATTTAGCAGTTCAGTAAAAGCCGATATATAGTCAATTTACGATATTTGCCAACAAGACTGAGACACACAATTTTCGTTTTTAACACAAATACGTTTTAATAGATGCACAAAAATACAATTTACAATAACAGTTATTACAAATAGTTATTACACACAATGATTTATATACAAAAATTTTACAAACT